GTTATTTTTTCCATGGTACATTTTAGTACATATTTAATGAAATCATTTATTAGTTTTTTTTTGTACCTATTTATTCCAAATCCAACCTTAGTATTGTACAGACATTTAATAATATGTATGTAAGTTATCACAGCACAGTTGATGTTTACACATTTATTTGAAGAACCCTTAGAAATACCTTTTTGTAGCTTGCAAATAATTCGAACATTTCCAAGGTCGAACATTGTTCTTGTATTGTCAAAGAGAATTTAAATTAAATTATCCGTCTAATAAACAACTTTTATAGATTTCATTCTAGTGATATTTATTGCTTCTTAAATACTTGGAATTATTTTAAATCTTTTAATAAAAAAAAGGAATAGAAATTATATATTTAATTTATTTATAAAACTAAATTAATTATGAAAATATTTACATTTATTAAGGCTAAGCTTTGAATTAAAAATGTTACTACGAAACGATGAAAAATGTTAAATTTGAATAGCTCATAAACGACTAAATATGTATAGAGATGAGCGTTTCAGCCGAAAACGCATAGCAACGAAAACACTAAGTGGACTTCTCAACAAAGCGGATCCAGGGGCTGGTAACTCAAATGGAAAAACATGAAGAAGGTAATTTTACAACTCCAATTAACGGGATGGCGCTCGAGTATCGAAATGTCAGTTGTCAGCTCGTACAAAACTTCAAACTTCAAAAAATTAAAATGGCTATTGCAGTTGAATGTGCATTGGATTTTGATTTATCTAAATATATTTTTCAAAACCTTCCAATTTAAAGTATGTTTTCAAAAGATGGGATTCAGCGACGAACAATAAAGAACACATATATTGGTAGTGACTCAATGTATACCTAATAATATATAAACGGTCGTAAGTGACTTTCATTTTTGTCGAAAGCTGTCATAATTATAAATCGTAAATGCTGATTGGTCTGAATAACGTAAGGTTAGAATTTGTCATTTTAACATTGTTATAATTCATTAATCATTTAACATCACATACTTCGATAAGTATGTGTTTAACATGGACGCAGTAATTTAAAAGCAACTGGATAGAGCCCAAAAGCAAACTCTATTAAAATATATTGAGGTCAATTCCAAAATTATTATAACGAATCAAAAATATAATAAAGAGCATAAGATGCTGACAGTCATAATATTTAGGACCATATTTTTAATGTTTGACTTATCTTCGCCCACAAATTTTGGCCTTAAATGTCAAAACTTGAAGTGCTTTACGTTTTTTAAATACGAACTGGAGTGCGTTTAGAAACCACGCACGGCGCGTCTGGACCCTATTCTAATGTACGTGGTCAGGCGCGCCATACGAGGTTTCTAAACGCACTCCAGCACAGCTAGTAGATAGAAAATACCACAACGTTTATGCTATACACTTTTCACTTTTGTTAGTTGTTTTTCTCATTTCTAGAGTGCTTTCAAAAACGCTGGTTAGAGAATAAGCCCTCACGTCCATGTTCAAATTATTGAGCTGATATAAAGTTACTTCATATAAATATAACTTGATAAAATCTAAAGTGGTAATTTACTTAACTTCTATATGAAATGTATTTTGCAAGTAAATTTTTTATTAACCTTGCCCAGACAGTGTTATAAACAAATAATCTTGAAGCGACATATTATATCGTTCTTTATCACAAACTACACTGATTATTTTATTGAGAAAATCAACCTTGTCTGCACCACTAATATCTTTCTTAAATCTCAAAATATCTTGTTCATTATGAGTAAGATAATGAAAGGGTACAATAGAGTTTTGGAATGGAAAATTGGTCAAAGCTTGGGTAGCAATTATTTGAATTCCCTTTTGTTTAAACTTGCGGTTTAAATTGAAGACCACTGTGTGTATTCTTTATCCAATTATACAGGTTTTGAATATTTTAGTTAGAATAATTGCAGATACCAGATCTCACCAGTTATCAGAATCAAAGCTGTGATGTGTGTGAAAGCCAATCAGGGAGGGATGGTATTAGGCATCAAATTTGAATCCATTTTTCTATATATTGGCAAAGCAACTGAGCTGGATTGATTAATTTCACTCGTATTAATTATTCAATTATGCCTTGTTCAGAGTAGGAGCGGTGAGTGTGGCGATGCAATAGCGTTTCGTCGAACAACGGGATTGATATTTCAAAACATCGCATCGCTGGTCGCTTTCACTCTGAACGTTTGCATTTGATAATACTAGGTTACATCGCCACCATAGATATATAACCAAGACAGATCGGATTATTTACAAAAATTTCTGAAGTCAACGCGGATGATCCTCGGTAGAAATGCAATATTTGGATAAGACATTGATGCCAAGTTTGCGATGTTATTAACTGTAGTAATGAATTATGTTTGCTTGCAATACTTTAAATTATCCAAAAAAAATGTACGTCAACAGCGTAACTAGACTAGACCGTTATTGTAGTATTTGTAAGAGGGTCGTAATTTGTTTCATTCATAAAATTCCTTCGATACAGTACTAGTCCAGGAGCCAGTGAATTTTTTTCGTATTTGTTTTCCCGGTCCGTGTATATTTAAATAATCTTTTCCCTGTGAACTGTATATTTAAAATGAAACGCCAGTCTCTATTAACAAAAGTAAGCCAAATTGAATTCGCGCATTACGTCACATAGATACAGGTGAGATTGCGCACAAAGTGATAAATTCATATTTTTAAAACTCAACAAGAAGAAAATCCAATTAACTCTTCCGTTATGTCCCCCTAAGTTGGAATCATAAGGAAAACTTTTTATTGTGAATTTTAAGAAAAAAAAGTTATTCTTCATAAAAAGTTCTGCAATATCTAAAACCTAGAATACAGTCATCAAATATTAAATTTTTTCAGTGGTACACGAGGTTTGTCAAAAAATATGAGTTTTACTCAAGAGTAAAGTACCTTTATTCTTTATACGACTGATAAAATTTGATATCTGATGGTTGTATTTTAGGTATTTTAGCTATGTTTTTAGCAGCATTAGAGGACCATTTCTACCACGCGCACCCAACAATATTGGCGTTCCACAGTTCACTGTCTTTTCCTCACACCTCTAGTATAAATGATTTGAAATAACGAAACTAACAATAATTATAATTAATGTAGAGTAGGCTTGTGTCAAAACTGTAAAAAATTCTAAAACTAAACAGTAATAAGTGTTTCGTGAATTCTAAATAAAATAATTATTATATATATAAAAGTGTAAAAGAAAATTTAATTTAGCTCCCTATTTTCTTCTGTAATTTCTTCAATTATTATGTTTTATTTCTATAAATAAACCAACTGGTAAGGTGAAACATTGTGATATCTTCAATACACCTGGAACATTCTTTAAATAATTGTGGTCGTAGGAAAAATGATGTTCATAACTCGTTGGAAAGTGTATTTTATGTACCTAACCTAAACTCTTTGTAGTTTTCACTTGGAAAAAGTTCACTAGCCGACACTGTATATGGTGTAACTGACTTGGTGTCAACTGACGAACTTGTGGCCAGTATGGTAAAAAAGTAAGCTCTTTAAATAATAGATGTAAAAGTTTTCCTTTCGTTTGAAACTGTTTTAAATAAAATGCGTATTTCCTGAAAAAAAAAAAGGAAAAAATATTTTTAATAATTGCATTTTTTACATTTTCGTTCGTCCACTCGCTCCTCCGCCGCCGTGACCAAATTTCGAATTCGTACGGAAATATGTGGCATTCTACAACTTGTATTTTAAAATAGTATTCTAATTATTTTTTTTTTAATGATAATTTTAGAACAATTCCCAATTTTTATAAGATTTAGCATGTTAGACTTAATACTTAATTACCATATACCACAGATTTGAAGGATGTCAAATTAATATTAATCTTTATACACTTTTCAATAAAAAATTCATTTTGAAGAAGTTGTATTAAATAACGAAGATATTTGTTGAATAAGGAACACCATACTGTATTCGTTCCGTGCGTGATAACAGCGCCAATTCATTTTTTGTACTAATGGACTATTTTTGCGTATACTGACAATACAATTTTTAACAGAATACGTAATTAAAAAGTATATATGCTACTTTTAATAAAAGTAAATGGATTTGTAAAACAAGTGAAACATTATTTTTTTATTATTATTATTATTATAGATTTTTATCGCTTAAAATAAAAAAAAAACTAAGTATATTCAATAAAAATCAATAATAAAATATAGGCAGGCAACAGTATCTACGGGAAAATGTATGAGAAGTTGCCTAAGTCTAATAAGTTGTCTTTAAGGAATTAACCCATTCTGTCAAAATAAAAAAATACCATTAAATAATAACGTGAAGTTAAAATGTATAAACATTTATATTTTCATTTTTGTTCAAAAGAAAACAGAATGAATGATTAAAACTGGTTTCCTATCAGAAAGTCACAAAATTCTATTCCAGCCACATACAATAATCAAAGGCAGAAATCTAGTTCTTGTCCAACATTTTAGATTAAAGGGATGTTGAAGAACAACGTGAACTGGTATTTATTGTTTATTTAAAACCTTTCAAGTTTCTGATATCTACTATTTCCAGTATTACTGTTATTATTTCAAAAATAAAGGTAATTTTTCTTCTTATTGTATCAAATTTTAATTTCATAAAGTATTTTATTTTCCATTTTGCTCAGAAGTAAAAAGATCTTAGAGTCTTCTTGAAATTCACGTGCAAAAAAAATACAGAAACTACTAAAATTAAAAGTAACTGATATCGAAATAAGATTTTGGAATACAAAAATAATGATCATCTTTCAATTTCCTACAAAAATTATTTTTCTAACTTTAACTTTGATTTACTAAAAACGAGAAAAATGTTACTCAGACTCGTTGTGTTCTAAGGTCCGCATTTGATATTTTTCATCAAAAATCAGTTAAAAGTTTGAAACACGAAAAGCTTTACGATAAAGGCGCTTTAAAACGAAAACGCAAGCGCCAAGCTCGCGTCCCGCCAATATATAACTTTAAAAAATACGAGCGTGCCGACAGTCCTTCGTAATGTCCACAAAGCAACTACCGGGAAGCGGGAAGTATTATAACAGCCCGTCTCATATTTATACAGGACGATACACGAATACTTCGCGATTTTAGATTTATTTTTTTTATTTTTCTATTAATTAATTTTAGTTTGTGCGCAACATGGAATCTGTAAAAAACGAAGTTGAAATCCTAAACAACGAGACCAGTGTATCAAACGGCACCAAAATTGATTCTTTTTATTTTTACGAGGTAAGTTCAATAAATATTCTAATTTATTATATAGTATAGTATATATACAAAGGATTTTTTTAAAACAAGTTTCCATATATTTAGGAAACAATTAACAGATTAACAGTCTCTTAAGTGTTTTTTTTTTGGGATAACGTTTTCAAATTACAACTTTAAAATGTTTTTGTTTAAATATCAAATAATTCGATTTCTAATTTTATTTTACAAAATCATTTTTTAAACACAACTATTTTTTTATTTAAATGAATCCCATGTATGGGTGTTTCATGTTTGATAGCTTTGGGGTAATTTTTTTATAAGAAATTTTTGAAGTACAAGCTAAGACTTCTTCTGAAGGAGGAAAGGTTTTGAATAACTTTACTTCGCTTAATATTAGTGACAATAAGAAATGAATTTAAAACAATTAGAAAAAATATTATGTATAAATCAAGTTCACTCCTATAATTTACACCAAAATTTGCAAAACTAAAAATTTCAAGAAAAAGAATGTCAATTTTATAGAAACTGACAAACGTTACGCCACCTACTACGATGATTCATGGTACATCGGAAAAATAACATAAAGTAGAAATGATGAAATGTATAGAATAAAATCTTTAAAAAAATACAATTCCTAGGACAATATTAATGGCCTATCAAGGATGATGCACAAACAGTTAAAAAAGAATTAAATCCATTCGGGCCAATATTTTTCATTAGGTTGCAACCGTATATCCAAATTAGAATGAAGTACCGTAAACTAAAGAATTTGTAGATCTTAGCTAATTATTAAGAAAAGCTAAATATAATTTTCCTGTAAATGTACCAGTTATTATTCTACAGTGCGATAAAATAAATTTATTAAATTCATAATTTTCTAAATATCTTTCCTTACCGTAAAAACTTTGACTTGAAAATATGTATGTTAGTTAATCGTCATTATTAGTTAACACACTCTATTTCGATAACCCATTGAAGAAGAATCAAGGGCTAAGAAAACAATTTTATTTCAAATTTTTTGAACACCCTATATATCATAAAAATTGAGATTAATAATGATTATTCTCGCATTTGTTACAAAAAAGGGAATCCTGGTTGATATCTTAGAACATATCATTTTCGAGATTTTTCAGTTTTAGTCCTACTCAAACTGAAAATCTATGTACATTATGAAATTCCAAAAATGATTTATTAAGGGCCGATTTCATAATCAATATTAAAAGGTCCATTAACTAAAGGGACCATTAAGTTTATAGGAAAATTATATTTAGCTTCTATTATTAATTAGTGAAGATCTACAAGTTTATGGCACTTTATTCTAAAACACCCTGTATAATGCTTGACATTCTATATTATACTTTTCACAATCCCTTAACACCGTTTTTAAACAGATTTTTCAGAACTTACATGCTTCGTCCTCTTATAGAGCTTGATATACTGAAGATTTCAAATTTATAGTTTTTTGTTTCCTAGTTAGGATTTTTTTAATATTGCATCCCTCTTAACCCTTTTTTTTTATTTAGATATTTTTTTAGAATGAGTAGGTTTCGTCTTTTTATAGAGCTTGATTTTTGATCAAATTTAAAGTTGAAATAATTTTTCGTTTTTGACTTGACTTGTTTAAAATTTAATAGAACGATTTTGGTACAATTTTTTGAAATAAAAAATGTTTATGTAAAATATATTATACCTAAAGGATATATAGGTGCAAGAATTTTCAAGTGTTTTAAATAATTAGTTATTTTTTATTATTTTGTTTTATTTTTAAAAAGTTTTTAGTAATAAATTTAAAAAACTAAAAATATCTATTTGAAATGGAATCTTCGAATTAATTACTAAATGAAGTATATTTATACCAAAAATATAGAAAGTATGTTAAAACAACTCTAATAGTATGTGAGTATATTAAAACAATAATTAGTCTTATTTTTTTTTTAAATTATATTTAAAATAAATGCTTCCGTTTTAACAACATTTTATTTTAAGATTTTTATTTTTAAAAAATTCTAAACTTATTTTACACCTTTTCATATGAAATATGTACATATATTTAATATTGGTTGACAAAATTACATAAATTCTGGCCTAAATACTTGACATTTTTCTGCATAATTTTGTCAATTCAGGTTATCATACAAATTCAAAATTTTTCAAGTTGAATTCATGTTCATGGATGTACTGCTTATTATACGAGGATAGATCAAAAAAATGTCTACACCAAGATGGAAAAAATTTTAGGTGAAAATTGTATTTACTTTGCTATGAAATATACAGGGTAGCGAAAAAGTTTGGCAACAAGGTATTTGCTTCGGAACGAATGAATGTATAATTATGAAATTGTAGGATGTTGAATGGAATTGCATTCTGCATTTTTTAGAGGACATGTCAAAGTTATCGTTTAGAGTACTGCCGCCATCTTGATTTTTTTTAAATGGCAACGTAAGTCGAGTAATATATTAGAGAAAAGCATGGAGGTAGTAGGGAAAGGAGTCACTACTCAAATACCGAAGCGGTATCACCTCCGCCATATTGTTACCATCCTAATGTCATTTGTGACATTTACTTATAACTTTTGTGGTATGTGTTTTATTTTTGGATATTTACTGCGTTCGTTTCGTTTTTATATAGTATTAGTTGAAAGACCTTGATGACATGATGTTATCTTGTACTTTATGAAATTGTACAATCCTAGATCATGTAGAAATAAAAAAATATAGGTAATAACCATGGAAGTATGGGGATAACATTTCATAAGTTAGTGAACAGAGTCACATTGAAAAAAAATGTATAGTTATCTAAATATTATCATTTCCAAATTTCCAAAAAATAAAAAAAAAACTGACTATACCCAGTATGGAACGTCTCAATTATCTCGAAAACAGCCTGCACGATTTTTAAATACTTTGGTTTGTAAAGATTTTGTAATACGGCCGATATTATAGTTGTATTTACATTGTTGTCAGATTTTTCGGTTTTCTGGAAATATAATGAACTTTGTTATTTCAAATGGATTATTCCGTAGGGATATTTTTATTTTTGGAAATCCTTAAGAATACTGGTTATTTCCAAGATAACTGAGGCGTTCCAACTTAAAACTCACTATGTATAGATACCGTTTTTACATAGGTACAGAATATTTGGTAACCGACCACATATAGTAAGTGTCCTTCGAGGAAAAAGATTTTCATCGATCTTCATTGTACATTGTCTATTTAAAAAATGATGTTATCACAATAATTTACGTGTTTATAAAGTTAAATTAACATATATTTTCTTATTTATAATTTTAAATAAGGACGGTTTCATTCCAAAAGTTTTTGTATTTTTATAATTTCGCTATTTTGGATAATCCACCGTTCTGCCAATATTGCCATAATACCATAAATGCCACTCCATCTTATTTGTCCATATTGTTAATATATTAACATGGAGCTAGTTTTTATTAGCTATCTGTTTATCATGAATATAGACTTATTTCACACTTAACTCGAAAATTCCAAAGGTGGGGCTATCTTGTTTTTGCAGTATCCCCACAAAATTCCAAACGTTTATTTAAAAATTAGCATGCTATTTAGCGCTGCGACCAATAATAGTGTTGCGGGCCACAAAAAAAGCTTGGAGGGACGCATGCGGCCCGCGGGCCGCAGGTTGAGAAAAGCTGGTCTAGAGATTGCCATAGGCTTATAAAATCAGACGATCATTAACATAAATAAATATAAATTAATATTTCGGATGACCGAAAATTAAAATAGAAGTGATCTATTCGTCGTTGTCTGTCAGATGAAATAAAAATGTCACTTTCTCTGACACAAAGCATAGACGACAAATGACATTTGAGTAAGAGGTGATTGGTTCCGAAATAACGAAATAACGGTTCCAACCGTTACAAGATACTATCCTCCTATTATTATGTTGTTCATATAATGTTTTTGTTTTATTTAAATATACAGTGTGTTTGTTACATATTGTTGTATTTTTATATTAGGCATTCTAAACAAAATGGCTACCAGTGGGTTTTAACAGATTATGATATAGCAACATTATGACAACCCTGTAGGCTAGGTGATTTGACAGGGTCAATGAAATAGATAGTTATACAGGGTGGCTCACGCTCAACGGGACGGAGCTTGTTACGGTTTCACCGCAACAATATTTTCAAATCAGAAAGTCTAATTAAAATAAATAAGTAACTTACTTAAATTAAAAAGCAAACCATATTTACAAACTTTATTTACAACTTCAGTCATCCCATACTCTCAGTTCCTGATATAAATAAGTAGATAATTGATTTGTTTACAAAAATTGTTTGTACATTGTTATATAGGTTAGGTAGTTCCAATCTGCTATGTCAACCTAAGTACTTCTTCTTTTATTTTAGTCCTTGGGTATCTTAAGTAATTTCACTTATTGGAAGGTGACTAATTGTCTTAAATGGTATAAGCTTTTGGTCTGGGAGAGGAACTTCTAGAAGCTTGATTTTTTCCTCTAGTTTTTGTGGAAATTGTTTTTTTTTTTTGGGTATATCTTGTGCTGGTTGCAGTTATCGTTTTACGGATTTTATACTCTGAAACAAAAATAAACTGGTTAAATTTGAATTACTAGTTTTCTGTTGAAAATTTGCACTATAAGTGGATTTCCCGTAATTCAATTTAAACCTTTGAATTTCCCAAGGCCGATCCCCAACTTCGGTAAGTACCTCGTGAAATGTACAATACCCTATACCTATTTTACATTCTGTTTTTATATTTTTAGGCCTTTTTTTTTCTTTTTCTCCTACTCTTATTCTACGCTTTTACTCTTCGTTCTATTTTCTTAGACGTACTTATATTGAAAAAAACTACTTAACTGATTATAAGTAACACTCAAGGTGACGTTGCTGGCACATCAGATAGAATTCAAGATCTTAATGCATGCTGCTTGTTGCTTGCCGCAGTCCTCCAGCGCTGTTGATGCTATTTCCTGCATGTTGCTTATTTGCTATTCGTCCTATTTTACCAGCTCGGTTTCGTTCGCTAGAGCCT